TCACAGGTTTCATTTTGACCTGATGTTTCGTGTTGTGGTTCCTCTGGAACCTGTATTACGTATATCTCAATGATGTCAACCTCCTTTAAAAGTGCCTGATAATCACCATCGCCTGTCGCCCCCGTTTTTAAGGTATCGGGTTGTTTATTAAGTTCAGTGTGTCCAGAAGCCTGGCGTGCATTTGATGGTACCTCAACCTCTTCGTGATCTGATGTCCTGCCTTTAGAAACAAAATATTATAAACCCTGGTCAAACAAGAATGAGAGTTGATAAGAGTTGGACAGTGAGAGTCTGCAGTGAGAACAACAATTGCATGAGAGTTGACTGGATATTACAACACGTAGCGAGAGCTCTCATCAACTTTCATCAAAATTTGAACCAGCTGAACACTGATGAGAGTTAACTGGATATTACCAAGCACAACAAAAACTCTCATGAACTCTACTCAAAATTTGAACCAGCTGAACACTGATGAGAGTTAACTGGATATTACCAAGCACAACAAAAACTCTCATGAACTCTACTCAAAAATTGAACCAGCTCAACACTGATGAGATTAACTGGATATTACCAAGCACAACAAAAACTCTCATGAACTCTACTCAAAATTTGAACCAGCTCAACACTGATGAGATTAACTGGATATTACCAAGCACAACAAAAACTCTCATGAACTCTACTCAAAATTTGAACCAGCTCAACACTGATGAGAGTTAACTGGACATTACCAAGCGCAACAAAAACTCTTATGAACTCTACTCAAAATTTGAACCAGCTCAACACTGATGAGAGTTAACTGGATATTACCAAGCGTAGCAAAAACTCTCATGAACTCTATTCAAAATTTGAACCAGCTCAACACTGATGAAAGTTAACTGGATATTACCAAGCACAACAAAAATTCTCATGAACTCTATTCAAAATTTGAACCAGCTCAACACTGATGAGAGTTAACTGGATATTACCAAGTACAACAAAAACTCTCATTTGAACCAGCTCAAAGTTGACGAGAGTTGGCGGGAAAACACGAGCGAGAGTTTGAACCCGCATGACCTCTTACCAACTCTCATCGTCGTTCTACAGTGAAAACAATTATCAAGACAGGTTTCTTTTCAACCAAGATATAGCACATTTCTTCTTAGAATGAGAAAACATTACACATACCAAGGTTGGCAGAAATCATGAGCGTGAAGGAGTTTGCATATCTGATCACAGAATCATGCTGATTTATATAAACTTTAAGTTCAATTTCCCCACCAAATATCATTCATTTCATTAAATTGTTAAAGAATACGAATGTTCTCATTAAGACGTTTCACAAGCCATTATAAAATAACATGTATATAACGCGTGTTCTGATTGGTCAAAAGCCGTGTTTGGATCAGGCCATCCAAACACGGAAGACTATCGTGTTGTTGTTATTTTATAAAACAATTACTTTATGATTTCCGTGTTTGGATGGACTGATCCAAACACTTGGGAATGTTGCTCGAGTTAAGAAAAGCGGGCAAAATCACTCGCCTTCGGCTCGTGATTTCGGTCGCTTTTCTTAACTCTCGCAACATTCCCGCGTGTTTGGATCAGGCCATCCAAACACGGAAACCATAAAGTAATTGTATATTTACAACATTCGCGTCCGTGTTGTATCCGATATAGAAACTCTCTCTCCTTCGGCTCGATCGAGTTTATATATCCGATACAACACGGCCGCTCATGTTATAAATAGTATCTAATATATATATATATTTAGAAATTAATACTGATCTCATCTGTGATATTACTGACCTTCAGTTGCGACAGTTTCGTTACCTGACTCCTGATGTTCGTTTTCGACTGGTGTTTTGTTATCAGACGTTCTGTCTGCATTTGATGGAACTCCAGCCCAATCGTGAAGTGATGCCAGGCCTTTAAACAAAAGACATTACAAAGCACTGGTCAAATCAGAACAAGAGGTGCTGACAGTTGATGAGAGTTGACTGGATATTAGCGCACGTAAAAAAAACGCTCATCAAAATTTGAACCAACTAAAAGTTGAAAAGTTGGTTGTTAAACGCGGCCGACATTTGCAACCCTCATTACCTCTCAACTTCGTTCTACAGTGAACACAATTATCAAGATTGGTTTCTTTTCAACCAAGGTATATATTACATTTCTTCTTAAAATGAGCAAATGTTACACATACCAACGTAGTAGAATTTTAAACATATTACCACAGCCACAGGTTAGATATTAATATCTATAATCTGTAATATTACTGACCTTCAACTGATATGTCTTCAGATTCGTTTGCATTTGTGGGGACGTCTTCGTAAAACCTCCAATCAACGTTCGGGATAGTTTCGTAAACTGGCTCCTGTTTTTTGATAAGAATATTATAATTTATTTAAGGCCGATTACGCACAGGGTATGGTTGCCCAATTTACCCGAGTCAGAGACTCACGATACACGTGCTTGTCTGCTTGACAACTAATTTCTAAGTACAAACTAAAGTAACTTTACTTAGACTAGATAGCTCAACCAGTTCTAGAGGTTCAGTGAGGCCCATCTGTTATTCCGCCAGTGTTACTACAGGAGGAAACCTAAACTAAAACTATATTTATACTGGATAGTTCTATCAGTTCTAAACTGTTCTTCCTAGAGGTCCAGTAAGAGTCATCTCTTATTAATCCAGTATTACTACAGGAGGAAACCTAAACTAAACTAACTTTATTTATACTGGATAGCTCTATCAGTTCTAAACTGTTCTTCCTAGAGGTCCAGTAAGGATCATCTCTTATTGATTCAGTGTTACTTCAGGAGGAAACCTAAACTAAACTAACTTTATTTATACTGGATAGCTCTATCAGTTCTAAACTGTTCTTCCTGGAGGTCCAGTAAGGATCATCTCTTATTGATCCAGTGTTACTACAGGAGGAAACATAAACTAAATTAACTTTATTTATACTGGATAGCTCTATCAGTTCTAAACTGTTCTTCCTAGAGGCCCAGTAAGGATCATCTCTTATTGATCCAGTGTTACTACAGGAGGAAACCTAAACTAAACTAACTCTATTTATACTGGATAGCTCTATCAGTTCTAAACTGTTCTTCCTAGAGGTCCAGTAAGGATCATCTCTTATTGATCCAGTGTTACTACAGGAGGAAACCTAAACTAAACTAACTTTATTTATACTGGATAGCTCTATCAGTTCTAAACTGTTCTTCCTAGAGGTCCAGTAAGGATTATCTCTTATTGATCCAGTGTTACTACAGGAGGAAACCTAAACTAAACTAACTTTATTTATACTGGATAGCTCTATCAGTTCTAAACTGTTCTTCCTAGAGGTACAGTAAGGATCATCTCTTATTGATCCAGTGTTACTACAGGAGGAAACCTAAACTAAACTAACTTTATTTATACTGGATAGCTCTATCAGTTCTA